ATGCTCCAGAACAATTTCCGTCAAGGGGATGCTTGAAATAGACACATGGGAAGCCATCCTCCATCGCAAACTCATTCTTGTCGTTCGTCATCCAGTGTTTAATAACTGTTGCGCGAGGTCGACCTCTCCCTTTGAAGCTCGCGGGAAATAATTCCAGCAATATCCGTTGCCAAATTGGACAGAGCTTCGCCGCAGTGATCCGATCTCCGTCGGGGAAAACACGAAGAGCGATCGCCGTCAGCTGCGCCCGATGCGAAAACCGAGAAGTTCAGACTTCGCCGAAGTTTCCAGAAGGTGAAGGTTCTCGCCTTCACCGCGATCTGCTGACTCACCCCTGGGAATTTGATCGAGCACCTTTCCATCCGACGAACAGACGGACGACCGTTTGTCATTGAAGGGAAACGATGAACAAGATCGTCGGTGACCGGCGATGAGTCACCGCGGCGGACACATTTCGGACATCTCATGAATGGGGGTGGAAACGGAGGAAAGGGAGTCGAAAGTTCCCGCGGCGGTGAGAAATCTCATTCCGCGGGGCTGATAGACGCGCAAGTATGCATAGAATCGGCCGGGTCGGATCGACTGGTTCGAGCTGGGCTCCGCCGAGGGAAAACTTCTCGAAACGAAGGTTCTGGCTCGTTCATTCGCGGCCAAGTCGTCGAGCATCTTCGCCGCGAAAGAGTTGGCCACTCGAATAAATTGGAAGCCGGTCTCCTAGCAGCGCGCGATGGTTTATTACGGTGGGCGAGGAGCGCGTAGGCATCGTTAAGAAGGTGTCAGACGCAGAACGTACCACGGGTAGCTCTTCGCCGCTGGTCGAGAGATGGTGTCGCGCACCGAAAGTGGTCGAAATCCTTGACCTTTTCCCAGTTTTTTTGTCGCGGGATCCACGGCGTTCTCCCAATTGACCGGCTTCGAAATTAGATTGTTCGACGAGTCGCAGTCCACCGCGAGAGAACACGTCACTGGAGCGACTCCGTTCGCCGTCACTGTCAACACCTGGCACGCAAAACCGGACGGTCAGCCAACGTTTCGAACCGATCGCGTTACCGAACCGAATCGACTTTCTTTTCGCACGTTTCATCGGACAACACAGCGATTGTCGTCGTTTACCGAAACGGACTCATTGGCCGCGACTACTCATGACTACTTGGCGAATAGTATCATGGAACTATATAGGGCAAATAATGATTTCTGCTTAGACGCGGAACTAGGGGTAGCTCCGCGAAACTCTAAATCTTTAAAGGGAATCGATCGCGGTGGAGGTGTCACTGTCTGCCTAACAAAACTTAGAACTATCTATACGATAGGTAAAACCCGCTTTTTCTAGAACAGCCTCGATTGCCCATCCCATTTAAGCGTAGGATTATTTTACAATACGCTTTCCGAGGAACAGTGTCCCCGCTAAATGAACAATTATTCTTGAATACCAATCTCGAAGTTAAACGATAATTAATGACTTGGAGTTCTCATCCCGAACCGCTCAAATGAAAACCGCCACCTTGCTTGAATCGATGGTACCGTTGATACCATCTATCACCGATTTATCTTCGTCCCGCTGACTTAGGCCGAGGATAAAATCCAAGACATTGGTAGATTTTTATCCAACTATAGAGCTTCTGATCTCTGGACGCTCGCGGCGTGCCCCAATAATTCTCCATCCGACATAGTTCTCAGAGGAGCGGACTGATCTGACACCGAAATAGTGCAACGAACTCTCGATAGTAGCCAGCGACCAGGCCGTTCATTGAATAGTTCGGACCGCGTAAGGTGAAACGACGCCCTTTAGGGATAAAAACGTTCATAATGCTGGAATGCAGGGGCGAGGGACTGGCAGGGGTGCTTAATAATGCAATATGGCGTCGTGGTGTCGCGGCGCTATGCCGACTATGCCGCATACCACCACCATATACGCCTACACTGCGACCCAAGCCTCCCCTACCCCTTTCGTCCCCTCTTGCCAGCAGCCGACCGGGAAGGGATGTACCGTGCAATCGAATGCTGATTGGAAAATATTGATGGGGCTTTCCATACGAGGATCCCCCTGACCCTTTCCCGCCGCCGCAGCTTTTTCTCTCGCCCGGAATTCCGGAAATTATATCGGACGCGAACTTTCGAGGGACCAGCTATATTAATTGACGATCATCGGAACGAGATTGATGGGACGCGTGAGACGAACCCCGCTTCACTGATCCCGATTCCTTCGTCGAACACTTTTGAAAACGATTGGAAACCGTGGGACCAAAATGTCTGTCCCTGTGCCGCGACTATTCAGTTTGGAACTACCTTAAACTGTACTCCATCTTTGCCCTTGACCCACTGGCGAAAAAAGAGTGACTCGAAATGAATAAGTTTTCTTCCTCAACGTGGACCGAGAAGGATCTTCGAATTGAATGTTTATAATAACTTTATGTAATTCCTGCAGATGGGTAGATCGAAACTGAAGAAGAACAAATGGACGAAGAACTTGAAGGAGGAGCCGGAGGATTCGGGAATTCCGATACCTAATTTACCGGAGAAGTACCTTTTAATGCATGTAAGATCGTGATGCCGGTGGGGAGGGGAAATGATTTTATTTTTTTGTAGTAAATCGTTTTGTTTATCAGGTCAAAAGCGGTACCAAGATTAGGAATGTCCTTGGGTACGCGCTGAAAGAATTCCCGAATTGCAGCAGCGTTGTGTGGACCTCGGCTGGCAATAGTGTAGGAAAAGCCATTTCTTGCGCGGAACTGTTCAAAAAGAAGCATAAAGGACTTCATCAGATTACAAGCTTGCGTTATACTCGGTAAATCCTGTGGAAGTTACTAAGAGTACGTTATATTTCTGATGTAATTGTTTTATTGAATTGCAGGTCGGAAAAGTCCAAAGCGAAGAGCGAAAATGGCGCTGAGATGGAGGCTCGACACGTGCCGGAAATATACATTTTATTGGCGAAAGAAGTGAAAGATACCTCAGTACTTGGGTAAAACAATTCGTTATTGTTACTGTCATTATTGTTGCCATTCTAGTGTCGTTATAGTAAGTATAGTTATCAGGCACCCGACGATAACGGGAAATTCTTGAATGAAGAAGACGTGAAAGATGGGAAGAAAGGAGGTGGCCAGGAAGCTGGTGGTAATGTGACCTGCATTGACGCCGAGGAATTCGCAGTAATGGGATTGAGGACCGGTCAAAAAAGACCGAAGAAAGAACAGCAAGCGGGAACGACGTCGAAGAAAAGTAAAAAACGAAAAAACGATAATCGATAGTGAAAGGGAGAAGAGTACTGTATAGCATTGTGAGTAAAATGGAATGTTCGAAGTTAATTCGAATTTCATGTTGGTAATATTTTATAGTTCAAGATGTTTGTATTAAATAGAAAGTTTATTCTTACATGCACATTCGTTACAGAAATGATCGCATAACAATATGTTCCTGTCGTCTGCCCCGTTCATGAATATTTCCGAGTTCCTTATTTACAAATTGTTTGTTTTCCGTATGTACAATGTTGCATTCAAAAACGGGTATGCACGAGTATCGCGAACTTATATATAGTACGAAAATTCAGTGCCCTTCGAATAAATTCGTTCTGCGAATTTTTAAAAAGGAAAACAAGAACATTCTGTCGTATTGCAATTGTACCGCAATAGTATAAGCTATCGCGACGTCGCATCGGCATAATATATTGCTAATTAAAATCTTGTGGCACTCACCACTGGTCAGAATTCGGAGACAGAATGTTTTACAATTCTTCCATGAGATCGTATTGGAAAATTCATAAAGGGTTATTTATGAATTAGCTTACGGAAATCTTCCACAATGAAACAGAAAACCGCAGATGCATTTAATTTTATATTAACCGCTGGTGAAGTCTATCTAGTAGAGCTTATACATTCGGCAGTGATGTAGATAATTATCTGGCACTGATATTGCCTGGTGAAAGAACTAGAGAATACTTTCAACTTCATGACACTTCCGATACTTTCAACTTCCTAATGTATAATCAGCTGTCTTCGTTCAAATGATTAAAAAATAATTTTTTTTTGTTAATGTTGTCAAAACTGAAGTATAACTCAAGTAAAAATTAATATTATTGCAATTTAAAAATTAGTATCATTAAAACTGTAAAATATTTCTATAGCCAATCAGATAATGAATTAATGAATCATTAAACGTTTGTTCATGAAACTATAGCTTCATGTTTACTCGAATTCCCTAGTCTTATTTTTATAAATGCAAGAGCTCTGGCAATATGTCAGAACTACATACATTATTCTTATGTCTAACAACTGACAATATAAATATGACTTCTTTCAAGTGTAAGTTATTATTAACAACAGGAGAGAAGCTTTGTATTCCAGTTTCATTACCATACGAGATAAATATTATATAAATATTTATTACCATCACTGCCTTTAATAATGATGTTGAATAAGTATTCGTTTAATATTGTGATTATAATTACACCAAATTGATGAATTGCTTTATATTATACGGAATAAATCTATTTTCACATCATAAATACTTTAAAAGAAAATCAGTATTAAAAATCAGTCGATTAAGCTTACTTATTAATTTAGTTATAACTTACACCTAATTTTATAAATGAAACAACTTCATGTGCGAAAAACGTTTTTGAATTCCTCTATAAGTATTAATTTAAATAAAATCAAATATTTTTACAAAAATATACAATGCTACGGAATCTACCTCCAGCAAAAGAAAGATTTAACTCGAATTTCTTGTTATTAATATAATATTTGTATGGATGAGTTATTCATGTAATAGTACATAGAGACAAAAATTCAATGACACATAATTACTTTAAATTCAATGTATTGTAGAAAATATAATGAATAAGAAGTGTATCTCCATATGAAAAGACTTGGTAACAGTTTGTTTATGGTTTCAATGGTCTTCATACATTATAAATCTGACATATTTTAGTGATAAACGAATACTGTAAATGTGATTATGAAGCATGTAAAATTGCTTTATACATTGAATTGTTTTTAGAAAAAATGGAGAACAAGAAATTGTAGTGTTAAATTTAGAAATTCACATTTCATTTCAGGTGGAATAATTACCGACCCGTTTCCGACACTCTTGTCACATTTGGAACAACGTCAAGAAGTACTTCAGCAGTGTATTAATATTATCAATGATCTCTCTAAATCTGACAAATTAACTTTGGGCAATATAAATAAATGTTTATATTCTAGGCTTCACTTTCTGTGGTTCCGTCTTCTTCCATTATTGGTACTATCAAACATTCTTTTGACATCAAGCTGTATTTTGTTACAAATGCTGTAAACCTGCAACAAACGAATTCAGTTAACAATAATATAAGTAGATCGTTCGAATTTATAGTGTTTATGACTGTACCTGCGACACAGAAAAGTCTCATTCTCAAACTCATCAAATATTATTCTATGATGATAATATGCATGAGAGAAAATTCTGTAAACCCTGCGACTGACAGATCCAAGCTTAGCAACTGAAGATTCCTTAATACTCACTCTGAAACAAAATTTGAAACATATATAATTATATTATTTATCACTTTTTTTTATCTATAATCTCTTATTATACCTGCTAGGAAAATACTTGTTACTATTAAGTAAACAAGCAGCACCATCAAGTGTGTGTCGTGTATAATCAATAGCTGGACATTCCTTAGGTGTTTTATGTGCAGCACACAAAAATATCCATTGTTCAGTGGCTGTCATTTGTGTACAAATGTCTGGATGACAATCCTCCTGTAGTCTCACTGTTAAACCATTCAACTCCATACAAAATTGTCTAAGATGCTCATATTTCCAAACAGCCTCATCTTGAGCATCTGGCATTTTAAGTATTAAATCGACATTGGAGGGTTCTCTCCGGATCATTTGTTGAATATATTGCTGCACTGCTAACGTGCTATCCATTTCATCGAATGGTTCATCTGGCCATCTACAGAAATCCTAAACAAGTGACAAATCAAAATATAGAAGAACGTTGAATTCCAAAGACTGTTTAGAATATCTTCATTATTGCAGAATAGTGATAATGCACTCTGTTATTACCTGTCAAACATTTGTACATTTATCATTAAAATATAAGATGGAAGGTATTGCAATATCTAATTAACCTAAAATTCTGTTACAAATTGCAAACAATTTGTTCATTAATAATTACACGAAATAAAGTAAACAGTGTAATGTGTATTATTAGAGTGTGTAAACAGTCGTTTGTTTTATGGACCATTCATTGATTTTCATCAAACATTGTTAGGGACGCGTTTAAATGTTTCTGCTAGTACGCTCCGTAAAAAGGAATACACATCGAATAATAGCACTGGAAGTACAGTGATAATGAATTGTTAACGAAAATAACATCATTATTAACCTTTGCTTTAGTCCCGGGCCTATTTCTTCTGAGGATTGTAGGTCCGTCCGCCATCTTCATTTTGCCAGTTGTTGCACTCGATCAGCGTGCACGTTCGATCGTATCAAATAAAAAGATCTGGTGTGTCGTAATGTCGGCCTAGAGAGTAGCGACACCATACAATCGATACATGGTGGCACGTTGATCACCATTCAAAAACTCGTACAATTTCAAATAAAAAGAGGAGAAATATTATCCAAAAAATTTGTATAAAAATCATATGATGGGTACAAGATAATGATAAAACTTCAATCTAACAAATTTATATTTATAACGCTTATTTTATTTATATACAAGAACAGAAATATGCGACTTGTCGAGCGTTCATACACCTCGATCGAGTTACTTTTTATTTGTACAATGCTCAAAAAATGAAAAAATGACTAATGCATTCTTATAAATTGTAGTGTTATTTATTCATAAATGTCATGCCTATCCGCGACGTAACGCACTATTTGTGAGGGCGTGAACAGTTTCTCCGCATCCATGTCCGGTATTTCGAAAGCGAATTCATCTTCTATCGCCATTATAACTTCTACATGGTCTAAGGAATCCAGACCCAAGTCATTTATGAAATGAGAGTCCAATGTCAACTGTACAAAATTTAAAACTGATTAAACATAAGATCTACACAAGCTGGGGCTTTTGAACAACTGATATGTAATTAAAATAAGAACTTTTTTTTCAACATTCATACTTTTAATACATGCAATTTTATAGAAGATAAGAATTACGTTTACATATCAGTTTAATTTTTAAAGCCACCACGATTCAAGCGAGGCGTCATGTTATTTTTTGAGAAGTTATCCATCAAATTATATTGGCAAGTGTCAGCTAATAATGATAATTATAATATAACTAATTTCAAATCATCGTAACTTAATACTACTTAATCTTTACATGAGTACATTTACAAATGTATTACAAGTACTTTTGATGGGATATCATCTAGTGATAAATAGGTACCTTCTTAGGGTCAATTTTATCATAGAGATTGAGTACTAGAATCACTCGTTTCTGAATAAAGTCAATTGTCATTGGTAGTGGTCCGCTGTAGTGGCGTACCTGCTTGACTCGTGTGCCTTTAATGCCCTGTAAAACAGTATTTTATAGAACATATAATAAAATTTAACAACCTTATCAGCTGATATTTTATCGTAGGCTGCAATCACTTTTAATACACGTTCTTCAAGCTTCTTTTCATCAGGTTTGGTAGCATATGTACGAATACCTTCAATCTTTACCTGAATACACTAAATACATTTTTTATAAGTTTAATAGAAGTACGCAATGAATGCAGGTTAACCAGAATATATTAACAAACTAAAATTTTGAGAATGAAACTCATTATAGTACGCAGGTTTGAAATCAATTAAAACGGCAACGTATTAAATCGATTCAACCGATTGAATCGATATTTAGGTGTTTCAACGAACTTCTATCATGTCGGATACCATTGTTCTGCCAAAGATGTAACATTTCAGTTATATAATACATGATTTAAAGCACGACATACACAAACTTTGCAAAGAAATTTGCAAGTGTTCTGCTAGTAAAGGCTATTAGTGTTTACCTGTGGTAAATGTGTGATGATATTTTGTCTTTTGCAATGATAGGATCTTTTATTTGATTGAAGTTGCGTGGCAGTAGCTGGTAAACAAAATCGACTGACTGAATTTCTAACGATACCGGTATTCCTCATTAAAAGACGAACACTTGTAAGAGACGCCATTTTCTTAGCTATAATCGGAAAATGCAGTCGACAAGACCTGAACTGTGATCGCGTGTACGAACCTAATCCGTGTCACACTATTCTCTGTGTTATCAATTCACATTTACGGCTTCCAGAACTTAGTGCTAGAGGGCCTTAAACATGAACTTATTCTCACAAGTAGTACGATCTTCTATACGAAAAAAATGTCCTTATTTAAATGAACAATTACTAAAAAGTACAATGCAAATTTAATTCAGTATTTATCTGAAAAATATTATGTAAAAAAACAACGAAAAAAATACGACTGTTAAACGATAATAATTGTAATACAAATCAATGAGAAAATGTCTTTGTACCACCTAACAAAGCATTGAAATAATTTATCATTTGTTTCATTGGAACAAATCGTATATTATCAGAAATAAAAATATAGATTTAAAATTAGAATTGCTTGAACGTCATTTATGA